CCCCCGCCCCGCCCCGGGGTGGTGGCACCCTGGTGATCGGGTGGGAAGCCTCGCTATTGCCTGGGAGCCAGCGAGTGCCTCACCACACCCGTGAACCCCAGGTCCTCTGGGCCTCCCAGCTCCGGATCCCGACCTTGCCTCTCCTAGGAAGCCACAGAGCCCAAGCCTCCACCTCCTCCAGGATCAGAGGGTCCCATGTTTGGAAGGACGACTTCCTTTCTGGCAAACTCCTTAACTAGCTGTACCTCCCTGAACCTCACTCTCCTTGTCTTCCCGCTGGGATTCACTGTTCTTGCTGCCTAGACTTGAGGTTGAGAAAACCCACTTAGGGCACGCCTGGTCTGGCGAAGGACCAGAGAATGTCCTTCTGTGTCTCCCTGGCCTGTTTCCTCATCTGGCAAACGGACCAAGATGGGCCTCCCTTAAAGGGTATTGAAAAGGAGCGTTTCTGCAAAAAGCACAGGGCTGGGGCACTGTCCAGAGGAGGCTGGGCCAGGATCGCAGGAAGGGGCGGGCCAGAGGGAAGGAGGAGCTTGAGCCCAGTCCTTGGCCTGGGAGGTGGGCATGGTGGCTGGGCTAGCAGAGGGAAGCAAGCAGCCTAGGCTTGGGCCACAGGGAACGCTCACTGCCCGGGGGTGGGGCTGGGGCAGCCCAGAGTTACTGGGATTGAGGATGGCAGGTGGGGACCAGGTCTTGGGTCAGCCCTGCCTGGGGTGGGTGCAGATGGCAGCAGCCTGGCTTCTCCCTCTGGAGCTGGAGTCCCTTTAGTCCTTCATCTTTGGGCTTCTTGGTGACCTCACCTAGGAGGTGGGTGTCAGAGAGAGGGCTCTTCCCTAGTGGTCAGCCATAGGTAGGGTTGGGCCACGTGGGAGTGCCTGGGGTCGGAGGCTGGCACATCCTGCTTTGCTGTCCTGGGGTGGGGCCCCAGACTGCAGAGGCAAGTGTGTGTGGGAGGGTGGCAAAACACCAGCCCTGCTGGTCCAACCTGGATCTGGTGTAGCCCAGGCTCTGATCTTTGGTACTGACCCAGCCCAGTCTACCCCAGGGCCTTGCAGGCCTCTGGCAACTTTGGGCCATACGAGAGCAGTATGGGGTGACTCAGGCCCACTCTGCCTGGGAGACACTGTCCTCTGGTACTGGGTGGCAGAGCAGGCCATGTGCTGTATATAACCTGGAGTTACCAGGTCCCCAGCCCCTGTGGGTGAAGGGGTCAGCCTCTCAGCAGAGGCTCAGGAGTCCTGTGGTGGCCTTGGGCCTTTTCCCATCTTTGCTTTTGTAAACATGAATGTGGCTCCTGTGTTTGTGAGTGCGAGTGAGTTAGCTCATGCTAGTCCCAGGAGGTCCCAGGTGTTTGTGCACTATTAGCACCGGGGGCTTTCCTCACCTCGTCAGGGCCATCGCACTAAGTGGGCACAGGTTGGGGGACCTGAGTGGCTAAACCAGAGACAAGACTCCTTTTTACTTTTTCCCTTATTGGATGGTCCCCCTTTGGGGGTGGAGGCTAGGATGTGGATGCAACCCCTACCCTGAGCCCGGGAGCACTGAGCCTGCCTTGGTATGGAGGGCGGGCTGAAGAGCCTGTACTTCCCTGTATAGCTGGAGCTAGGACACTGAAGCCTGTGCCTATGGCCCAAGACCAGCAGTGGTGCCTCAGAATCCATGGTCCCACCATGACCCTTCCTCACCCTGACTGTGGCTCTGGAGGCCCATCTGTTTTGTGGGCAGCTAGAGAAAGGGCTGCTGGGGCAGGGACAGAAATAAGTGGAGATAGGCAGGGAAAGGATGGAGGACTCTGCCAGGCGAGGTCCTGTGAGGGGTCTTTGGGTAGAGTAGGCAGGGGTGTGGACACACAGGAGCTATGGGAAATGGGGCTTGGGCTGAATACATGGCTAGAGGGGTCTGTTAACTATTGAGTAACAGTGAAGAGACCCTGGAAGCATCCCTTGTGTTCCTTCGTTGTGCAGATGGGGAAACGGAGGACCAGAGAGGCCAGTGATGTGCCCAAGGTCCCCTCTGTGGGTAGGGGGAGACCTGGGGCTCCTGGGGACCTTTGGAGCCGTTTAATCCAGAGAAGGAGAGAAGCAAAGGTGGAGGTGCTCTGCTGACTTTATGACCCCAAGCAGCCAGTGAGCATCCTTCCTCAGGGCACTGTCATGTTTAGACTTTACTCCAGGCCAGCTGTGCTGTCACCACCCTGGCATGTGCCTGGCAGCTGGTCCTCTTTGAGTTCCTAAAGGGCAAGGCAGCTTGTTTTCCTCCCTGCTTGGTCAGTCTGTGAGTAATCAGGAGCAGGGACCGAGGCCAGGATGGGGAAGATGCAATAGCTACCAGCTGAGTGTCTTCATACTGTGTCCTGAGCAATTCTCCCTAAGGGTGGGCTGTCCAGAGTGATCTGGGCCATTCCTCAGTGGCGAAAAAGCCCAAGGAAAAGCAACCATCCTGAGTGTATATGTGTAGAGACAGGCTTGGGGGCAAGTAGACATGGAGTCTGCTTGTTGGGGTTCACCATGATGGAGGGGGCGTGTATATGGCATCCTTCTCTTCCTGTGTTCCTCCTTACCCCATCCTAGTGATTGTGCTTGGCTGTCCTTTCTTCTTAAGGTCCTGAGTTGGCCCCGTCCATCTTTGGGTTTTCACATAGGGAAACTGAGGCAGAAGGCGGGCCATTCATTTCTTTCTCCTCCCCCAGATGTTGCCTGTGGAGAACCAGCCTGCAATTGATGGAGTGGCCCTTGTGGGCCACCTCTGAGCACTGCCGCGCCCAGCATCGCCCCTGAGCCTGCCTCCGAGAAATACTTGTGCCTCCGGGCCCTCACCACCGCCCTTGCCTGCTGATGGCCTCTGCTGCCAGGGTGGTCAGCCCTGCTGACTGAGCCCCCCTCACCCCTCTAGGACCTGCCATACCCCAATGGGGTAATGTGACCAAGGGCCTGTGTATTGGAGACTTCCTGCCTGCCACTACTGTGACCTCCGCCCCAGGGCTGCCAGAATTGGTTCCATTCAAGTTCAGTCTTCCTCTGGACCTTGGGGGTTTGGAGCCTACCTTGGAGCAAAGGGGTTTGTTGCTCAATGCCGAGAGGGTGTCCCCAGCAAAGGACCCACCCTGGACACTGTGTGGTGGCCACATTCACTTTGGCATTTTTAAATGTTCTTTGGTGATTTTTTAGGTGTTTGTTGTCCCCTTTATCCTCAGCCAGCTCTGAGAAACAGGAGTTTGGAATTGCCCATTTTACTTTGGGGGACTGTTTTGCTCCTCTTTTGAGGGGAGGAGTTGGGTTTTCTTTTTTAATTATCCAAACATTGGGCAGCTTCCTTTCCCTTTCCCAAGTATTTGTACAATATTGGTTCAGGGTGTGGGTGTGGGTTTTTTAAAAATCCTTTCTCTCAGACACGTACAAGGATCTTGCTCTACTTGGTTTTCTGAGGCTGGTGGGGGCTTCTCTGGCTGCAATCTGGCCCTCTCTGCAGCCCACTGCTGACCTGCCCTCTGCCTTCCTGAGGCATGGCGCGAATGAACCGCCCTGCCCCGGTGGAGGTGAGCTACCGCAACATGCGCTTTCTTATCACACACAACCCCACTGATGCCACTCTTAGCGCCTTCATGGAGGTGAGTGGGGCTGGGTGGGTGTCGGGCGAGGTACCTGGGAACCCTGGCGAGCAATTATAGGCCTGAGCTGGCGAGGGAATTTATAGCTGTCTTTTTCTGGTCCTCTATGGAGCTGAGCTCAGGCACCTGTGACGGGGTCCTGGATAGGGCACACGGAGATGTTTGGGGGGCTTGGGAGTGGGGAGTCTCAGGGTGCAGTAGGTTCCCTGGGGCCAGTGTATGAGCAGTGGAACTTGAGGTTGTGTGAATCCAGGCTGGTGGGGAGGTGAGGACTCTGTGTGATAGGATGATGCCTAGGCTAGAACTGAAGTTGGCCACAGGAAGGAGTGACCACTGACCCCTGAAAAGGCTGGAGGAAAAGATGCCTGCTTTCTGAGACCCCCACACTTGTGACCAAGTGTATTTGCAGAGTCTGTGCTGGAACCAGACTGGAGCTGTCAGCTCCTACTAGAGTTGTCAGTGTGTTTGTAGGCCCAGAGTGTTTGCAGAGCCAGTAGCTGTGTATTTGCCAATTACAGAGCCCATTACTACATGAGGCATTTTGCAGACCCATCTCTCAGCCCTTCCATCCCGGACACGAGATGAGTTATCACAGGCTTGTGTCATAGTCAAATGGGGATGTGGATGTGAGGGCATGGGGGACCCATATAGAGGAAGCCCAGACCCTGACACTGAGCCTAGTGCCCTGGGGAGGGCAGCTGTCCCCGCTCATACCTTGACCCTTGAGATAGCAGCAGGGCCTGGGGAAGGACTGGTAAGTGAAGCCCTATGGGGTTGGGGCTCAGGGTGAACCAGGATAAGGGCTCAGTGTGTGACCAGGATGAGGGCTCAGTGCAGGACCTGGTTTATGGCCTGGAGTAGGATGAGGAACAGAGCCCAGAGTGTGACCAGGGCTCAGTGTGTGAGCAGTATCAGGGAAGGCTCAGCCTGTGACTAGGATCAGGGCTCAGTCCTGAGTAGAATGGCAGCTTCCTCCCCTGAAGGTACAGAAGGATTTGTGGTATCCCTGTGACCTCAGAGGTAAGCACCCCCTCCTACTCCCTGTATTCTCAGAATAGTTGGATCCTGGCTTCTCTGTCTGGTGTCCCCATTGCATGACCAGCAGGGCCCCGTGATCCCTTACCACTCTCAGAATATCTGCTGGGAGCAGGTAGGGTGGTGCTGGCCCTGCCTATGTCCTGGGTATAAATACCCCTAGTCTGGCTGTGAGCTTGATGACCTTTTGGCTGGGCAACACGGAGTTTCCCCCACTGATATGTGGGGCCTGCCCCTCAGAGATCCATTCATGCACCCCAGGCAGGAAGGGGCCCTGCTCACTGGGAGACCAGAGCCTTTGTCTAGTAACCAAAGTAAGAGTTGGGACCTGAGTACTGCAGAGGCTAGAGGTGACGTGCAGTGGGCAGTCGCAGCTGAGTGTGGACTATGGTGAATGAATGTAGATGGGGACGTCTGCCTCTCTTTAGGTAACTGAGGAATAGGCACCTGAGACATCAGGCTGGACCATCTGCTGGTCACCAGGCCTGAGTCCACACTGTTTGCTGTGGGGGATACAGTCTGTCCTGGAGAGTGGTCTGAGGGGGATGCAATCTCACCTTGGATCTGAGGGCACTCAGCCATGTCCTGGCCAGGGATATGGTCCTGAGTCCCCAGCCCAGCCTGTTCCCTCTTCACACCCTGCCAGGACCTGAAGAAGTATGGGGCCACCACAGTGGTGCGCGTGTGCGAGGTGACCTACGACAAGGCCCCACTGGAGAAGGACGGCATCACTGTTGTGGTAAGGGGGCACAGGGGACATGGTGGCTGCCCCAGGGCAGGGCTTGGAAGATGGGTGGATATTTCTTGCCAAGAGGCTGGCACATGGACCTCTCTGGTGTCATTGGGGGCCTGGGCCACAGGTGTGTGGGCACCTGGGGGAGGCCAGAGTTTGGGACCTGTGACCAAGAGAAAGTCACCCCTCCTGAATCCCTTTTCTCAGTCTTGGACCATGAAGCAGAGGTTGGGTTGGTTGAAGCCGTAGCTCCTGTGCTTGGATCCTCCTATGTGTTGGTGCAGGGGTTGTCTGTGTCACACAAGGTGTCTCCAGATCTCAGCCATACAGCAGCCTGCAGCCCCTTATATGGTTTCATCTCTGGGAAAGCAAGGTGTGGGGTCCATCATGACCTGAGGCCGCAATGCCAGTGACATGAGGATCCCCTGAGGAGTGGTGCTCACATAAAGATGTGGCCTCACCTACCAAGTGTGCTTGCCGTGGGGATGACCTGAGCCCCACCGCCTGCCCACTGGCGGAGCATGGCCTTCCCAGGGCCTTCTCAGCCTCTTCCCACCTCTTGTCTGGGGCTGTCTCTGGGCAGCAGGGGTCTGGAGAGGTCTTCTGTGGGGCTGTTTCCTGACTCCCAAGGCCCTGGGGACCCTGTTTAGGTGGAGGATGGGGCAGCTCTATGGCCATATGCTGTGGGTTAGGCCACAATATTTGGAGCCCCAGAGCCAGCCCTGTGGGGCCCCCTAGCCCCTGGCACATGGGCTCCGTGCCCCAGGCAGCCTGGTATGGGGTTCTTTGTATCCTCTTTGTCCACAGCTGTTACTATGTGTGGCAGCCATTGCCTGGCAGTTGGAGTAAGGGAGAAGAGTCTGCTTTGTCACATAGCCTAGGCTAAATCCCACCATTGTCCCTTTCCATCTGTGGGACCCTATAGGCCACTCAGCTTCTGGGTTCTCACCTGAAAGTGTAGGCGCTTGGAAGGATTCGAGGCAAAGGCACACAGCACATCTTGGCACAGGGCACTTCAGCAGCCTCTCTTCCCCTTCTCCAGTAGCAGGAGGGATTGGGGTTAGATTTAAGGCAACCCCCATGGGCCCATGTGGGTCGACCCCAGTAGCAAGCAGTGCCTATCCTGGAGTAGTCCCTTGGGCCTATGTACCTGCCTCACCAATATGTGAATGTCTTGTCCCCCTGCTGTGCACCCTGGGCTTGCCCACCTCCAATGGGGACTGGCGTCATCTTCCCGGGGTGCTGGGGGTACAGTGGGGAGCAAAGAAAAAATTCCAAAATGAAAGTAATCCCTGGGTCCAGCTGGTGTGCAGAGTCCAGCTCCCAGAAACATGGCCTCACCTGCAGCCCTCTCTTCACTCGTTGTGGTACCTGGGCTGTGTGGCAGCCTGGGGGCTGAGGGTACAGCAGATATGAGGTGGCAGGCTTGTGTGTTACTGCAGGGAATGGGTTATCTCAAGCCAGCCACTGGCATTCAGGTGGGAGGGACTGCTCCTTGGGCTGAGGGAGGAGGGCAGAGGACCCTTGGGGCTCCCCAGGAGCTTGTACTCAGAGAAGATGGGGTGATTGAGGGAGGCACCCTGGTGAGCAAAGCTGAAGTAGGTGGGACCAGGGAGCTGGGCGTTCACAGCGAGGTGCCCATGGCCCAGCCAGCTTTCTTGCCAGCTCCTGGCATTCTCTGCTCTTCCCAGTGCTGCTGTCCTCATCCTGGGTCCCAGGGTAGCCACTCCAGGCCCTACAAGTCAGGGTCCTCACGGGTGTTTCACCTATAGGACTGGCCATTTGATGATGGGGCACCCCCACCCAGCAAAGTGGTGGAAGACTGGCTGAGCCTGCTGAAGGCCAAGTTCTGTGATGATCCTGGCAGCTGCGTGGCTGTGCACTGTGTGGCAGGTCTGGGACGGTGAGTGGAGCGGAGTGGAGGTGGGGGTGGGAGTGGGGGTGGAGTAGGGCTCTAGTCTTTGGGTGCTGCTGGTGTTGGGAGCTCTCTTAGAGCTTGGGGTCCTGACTGTCTCACTTTCTAACTTGGGCCACATCCACATGATCATCCTTGAGGCCTGATGCCCCAAGTCCTCTGATGGCCTGGTGGGGCTGACCTGACTCCCTGCTGCACTGGTTGCTGCCCTGTGCTCCTCCCCTGGCACAAGGGTGCCCCTGTGAGCTCGGCCTGCTCAGAGCAGGATCAGCAGCCTGGATCTGGTTGAAAGGATCTGGCAGTGGAGCCCCCCATTTTGGAGGCAGCAGCAGCTGATTGGGGTTCACAGCCAGCCTGTACTAAGCTCTTACCCCAGGACAGATTGAAGCTAAGCCCTTTGTTTGTGTGCTTTAGATTATCCATCCCTGACACATTTTAGTACGAGGCACAAAGAGACAGTCCAAACCCTCTGAGGTTGCACAGGAGGGACAGGAGAGTCAGGATCTGGACCCAGGAAACTGGTCTGGACTCCAAGTCTGTGGCCTTCACAGGAGAGCTTAGGGAACTGGGATGGGTCTGGCCCCTGTGAACACTTATATCCTGCATCTTCAGTAGGTAGCCTGTCAGGGGAGGGCCAGGGTACAGAGGCTTAGATTATCCAGCCCTACTCTCTGTTTGCAGGGCTCCAGTCCTGGTGGCGCTGGCCCTCATTGAGAGTGGTATGAAGTATGAAGATGCCATCCAGTTCATCCGGCAGTGAGTGACCTGCTGAGTGGGAAAGTGCTTGGGGGTCTGGGCTGACACCCTGGCCTCTTCATACACTCCTCTGTGGTGGTGCAGTGACCTCCAACAACCCACCCCACCCCTACCACAGGTCTCTCTGCTTGTGTGGTTCCTTCAGCCTGCGGCTACCTGAGCCAGCAGGGCTGGATGAGCCTTGAGCCATCCCTGGACAGTTGGGAGCTGGAAGCCAGCAGCAACAGGAGTGTAGGATGGCTGTGCTCTACCTCTGCAGCTGGGGCCTGCTGGCCAGGGCATCCTTCCTGCCCTGGCAGATAGCATCTGCTTAAGACAGCTGGGCTGGAAGCCAGCAGCAACAGGAGTGTAGGATGGCTGTGCTCTACCTCTGCAGCTGGGGCCTGTTGGCCAGGGCATCCCTCCTGCCCTGGCAGATAGCATCTGCTTAATGCCACTGGTGTCTTTCGTTATTTTTCTCATTTTTGAGACAAAATACCTGACACCTAGTGTTAAAGGAGGAAAGGTTTATTTCAGCTCAGATTGTAGAGGTTTTAGTCATAGCCTGCTGGCCTAAGGTAAGGTGGCATGGCAGTGGGACATCACAGAGGAGAAATAGTTCATGGTGTGGAGAAATAGTTCATGGTGTGGTAGGCAAAAGGCAGCAGCCAGCAGCAGCAGCCTGCCTTCTGTCTTTTAGCCCATTCAGACAGTAGTAAGCCTTTTGGGTGGTGCCACCCATACCTAGGGTGAGGCATCTATCTTCAGTAAATCCAGCCAGCCACACCCAGAACTATGCTAATTCCAGTCAGTGGACTAATTTAGTACCACATACTTTAGATCCAGCCAGTTCTGAACAGCTCTACCTATGAGTGCACAAGGCTTTGGGGGGACATCTAGATATAAGCCATAACACCTGGTAATTCTGCCATGTGCAGAGGACCCTGGATACAATCCAGCCTCTCAGTGGGAAGCAGGAGCCTCAGAACCTCCCAGTTATGCCCAGGGACGCCAGCACCAGGCTCTGGTTACCCTTTAGCCTCTTGTCACTGGCTTGGCCCCTCCTTATCCTCTTTGGAGGTTTCTACCTTCTAGTCACTTTGTGGCCTGCCTGGGGAGGGCTCCCATTTACCTACTCAGTCAGGCAGGGAAAGCAGTGGCTGACCCTGCCCCTCCCACCCCCCATGTCTGTGTGAGCATGTGTGTGTGTATGCACGTTTGACGTACATGCTCTTGGTGCGTACGCTTTTGTGTTGCCCTGAAATATAGCCTTTGCCAGGGCTCAGCCATCTTCTTCCCAAGGCATGTTTGTCATGTATACTGAGGGGGCCTGAGCAACACACACAGTGGCATACAACCCACATACACTTTCGAGCACATGCCCATGCTGGGACACACACGCTCAGATGCATGGGCACACGTGTGTACATACCAGTACACACATGGGTACACTGCAGGCTCTGGGGCGTAGTCCTGAGCAGGACTGGCTGCACTGAGTCAGTTGGGCTTTGGTGCCCCCCATCCCACCTCCTGGCTTTGCTTGTAGGTTCTACAGCCCAAAGCTATGCCAGGCAGGGCAGGAAGAGTTCTATAGGCCATGAGGACCAGCCCTATGTGCCCTGTGTGTGTGGTGGGATGTGCAAGTGGCCAGGCCAGAGCCTGGGCAATCTTCTGACTGACCCCATCTCCCCAGGAAGCGTCGTGGTGCCATTAACAGCAAGCAGCTTACCTACCTGGAGAAATACCGGCCCAGACAGAGACTGCGGTTCAAAGACCCGAACACACACAAGACCAAATGCTGCATCATGTAGCTCAGGTGTTGGCCAGGCTTGGGGCCTGTGGTGGTTCGCCCTCCCTTGTCCTGGCTGACCTTCATCGGCCTGTCTTCCTGTGCCTCGGTGCCCCTGTGTCCCAGGAGTCAGGCAGCCATGTGTTCCATGTCTTGGCCTCGTGTGCCCCTCTCCTGCTCACAGTGTCTCTCTGAGACTGGTCAGCCCCATCTCTGGACCTCTTGCCAGTGACCTCCAACAACCCCACCCCTACCACAGGTCTCCTCTCTGACCTGGGCATGGTGGTCGGTATATTTTTAACCACTGGGCCCAGCCCCTTGGTGGCGGCCCCTTACCCTGCCCTGTTCTTGGCACCTTAAATTATTGGATCGTGGAGCAGTCAAATGCTCTGGATACTCAAAGGCAATAAAATGATAACCATGGTTGTGTGTGGAGAGTGAGTGCAGGGCCAGGTGGGAGTGGATTGTGGCCTTGAGATCTGGGAGGCCACTGCCAGGAGCCTGAAGCCTGTGATCCCCATATGTTGGGGTTCCAGGTTGCTCATGTGGCTCCCTCTGGTGGCCATTCTGGGACTCTGCACTCCGATTTGGGTCTGCAACCCTGATAGAATGAGTTGCTGGTTGCAGTTTGGGAGGCTGTCATCAGTGTTGCTCTTGGAGGCATGGTGGGTATATGTGGCAATTTTGGGACCTTGGGTTTGCAAAGCAGGGAAGGCTCCCTATTCTACTTCTAGGAGGGCCTGCATCTTAGCCTCTAAGGTCCATGGAAGGGGCTCAGCAAGGGGTGGTGTGAACTTCAGGTAGAGGCCACCCATGGCTTAGGGCAGGGTGGGGGGCAGGCACCTGCTGTCTGTCTGGGGAGGGAGCCGAGATGGGTGTGAGCTGGGGGGATCTGAAGTGGAGAGGCTGCCTACGGGCCTGGCTCACACTGCCATCTGCTTCTGGGTATAGGTTCCTGATCGGGGGTCACCTGCCTGCAGAGGAAAGGGGTACAGGAGGGTGGGAATGCCACTGGGAGCATGGGCCCAGGGCTGGCCTGGCTGACTGTGTAACAAGGCTAGGAGTGCTCTCTGCCCCAAGACCCTTAGGCATTTGACACCCACCTGGGTATGCCACTCACAGGCCTTGGATGACCCTCTTAGCCGGGTCTCTAGGCCAAGTTCCCTAGTTTTCTAGGCTGGCACTTGAGTCACAGAAAGGAGTCCAGATCACCTTCCATCTGCATCTGCCACCCAGCCTTTGGCCATTCTCTCCTCAGGGCCCCACCTGGCCTGTGTTCCCTCCTCCCCCTCTACACCTACTCTGGGATAGGACCCCAGGGCAGCTGCGGGGGACTCACCTGTCCCCCCATCACTGTTTCTGCCCTTCCCAGGAAGGCAATTGTGTGTAGAGTGCACGGTAAGCCAGAAGCTTATTTCACCAAAGGCGGGTGCCCACCACCCGGGCCTGGGCCTGTCTACCTATACTCTTGATAAAGACACTGCATTGGGGGAAGTAGGCCCTACCTCCCCATCTCCCAGCCTGCTCCACCAGGCCTAGCATTGAACTACTATTCAGGTAGTTGCTCTCACAGAGCTGCTACAGCAAACCAAATTCCTAGAGCCTGCCTGTCCCCAGTACTCGGCCAGCAGTCTCCAGCCTCATTTCTAGATGAGGGACAGACTCACAGCCTGGGAGCTTGTCCAGTCAGTGTTGGCTCCAGGAACCCACTGGGGAGTCCCAAGTTTTGCTAAGTGAGACTCTAGAAGGGAAGAGGCACTATAGGGGGCCTGGGTGGCTTGAGGGCAGTCAGTGGGGCAGCTAGCAAGCTCACCTCAAGGAGACTGCTACCCTGCTGAGACAGCTCTGCCACCTACCAGGCTAGATCTGAGCCACTGTCACCAGCCAGGGCCAAAGCACAGGAGGACTCCATTGCGGGTACCCATGAGGTCAGGGTGCAGGTAAGATATGTGAAAAGGCAAAACTACCTGAAAGTCCCCCAGGTAGCTCCACTTCTGGAGAGGACCGAGAAGAGACTGGGTGTGGTTCAGCTGGCCTGGGCTCCTGGCTGGAGGTCTGCCAGGTCTATCAGTGCTTAGTCTCCTCTCCTGGAGCACACCCATGGACTCACCTATATCCGTGGCACATTTGGGGATGGTTGCTGTAGTTTTTTCAATCCACCCTCGAGCATGCCCTGTTGCAAGATGTGCAGTCTCGGGGGTTGGGGAAGATGGGCTGGGATCCTGCTGGGGAGGTGTGGTGCTGGGTCTCAGGAGGGCAGAGGCCTGCCCACTGGGCCTGGGGGTTCTGATTGGATGGAGAGAGGCTGGGTTGGGAGTCCGTCCCCACCATCAGTCCCTCAGCCACTGCCAGACTCCAGTCTGGAGATGGACTGAAGGCCACAGGCACCTTGGCCAGTGGCTCCATTCAGCTGTGACTGCCCAGCACTTGAGCTCAGGTCACATGAAGTGGACACAACTTCTGGGAATGGAGGAACTGCCTCTATCACAGACTTCTCAGTGTCCCTGTCCCCCACATCCCCTTTGTCCTCCCTGCCAGTGTCTCCTGAGGTTTGGCTTGACTACAGTGGAGGGGCCCACAGGATGGAAGATGGGTAGCAGAGCCAATGTAACACTTCTTTGTTGAATCTAGACCTTTCTTTCAAGTGGAAAAGTTATGCAATGAAGCTTTGTGTGCCAGGTGGGCGTTAGAGGGAGGGGTGGTGGGGGCAGGAAGAGAGGCTGGGAAGACAGCCGGAAGTCACTTCTGGGATCTGGGTGACACCTTCTGAAAGAATAAGAGCTGCCTGGTGGCAAATTCCTGGATGCTGGGCGCTGGGTCTTTTTTGAGATCTTCAAAAGCTTCAGGAGAGAATGGTTAAGTCAGAGGTGACCCTGGCCTGGGAGCAGCCCCCTCATTCCAGCTGGCTGAGGTCCCGGAGGCTTCCTTTCCCCACTCTCGAGGCAGCTGTGGGGCCCTTGTTTTGTGGAAGCCAGAGTGAGCTGACCCACCCTCTGGTCCCCGACTGAGGCTGGGGGGGTGGAATGGGCAACACGAAGAGGTGGGCCTTGGCCTGAGCAGAGCCTGTCCTTTTGCTGCCTAGGGCTTGGAGGGCTAGAAGAGCCCTACTCCTAGGGGCCTCAGTCTTGCCATCTTTGAAATGATGTAGGATGTGGAGAAGGGCTTGGGGGCTGTGGGCAGGGCTACTTACCATGGAGTAGCAGGTCCATGTCCCTGTTGCTCAGCATCTGGGACATGGCCTGGGGGAAGTAGCAGATGGTGTAACCTGTGCAAAATGGGGTGCAGCTGACCAGTCTACTCCTGCTCCTCCTCAGCCCCAAGCCCCCTCACCCACCCATTTTCCTCTTGCTGGTGGGTGGGATCAGGTTGGGTGTAGGTCAGGGAGGCCTGGGGTCTCCAAGCCTGACACTCCCTCTACCCACCTATGAAGAGTATTGCCCAGGTCATCATGTGGTGGCAGCTGTGCAGGTACTTGAGGGCCTGTGCCAGGTGGATGCTGAACTCTTCCTGGCTGCGGGTCATCTGGCGAGGGAACAGCCACCTGTCACTGCCTGGGGCAAGGCCTGGAGGGACCACTGGTCTCCAGCCATGCCCCCTCCAAAGCCCTCAGAGAAAACAGGGTATGGCCCGCCTGGCCTTACCACACCCTGATGCTCACCAGGCAGGTCCAGAGGAAGTGGCGGGCACTGAGGCTGTGCTCCCAGGCCAGGGTGCAGAAGAGGATGTGCCGCTGCTGCCAGCGTAGCAGGACGGCACAGCGATAGAAGGCAAATTTGGCCTGCTGTGGGGAGAGCCACAGGAGGGTCACTCACAGCCTAGTGTGAGCATCTATGTTGCACTCCGGGAACCACGGCTCAGGTAAGCATCTGAGGTGGCCTGCTGTGCTCGCGTTCGGGGGACACCTCCCTCCCCGCCTGAGTGCCTGTGTGCAGCTCTTCTCAGGAACAGTTGAGAATGATGCAGGGAGGGTTCCGAATTCCAGCAAGTGCAGGGAGTGGCTGAACCCTACCTGTGCTTGGTATGAGGAACTGTTAGTTGAAGAAACAGCAGACAGTCTGGCTCATAAAACAGCACAGTCCTGCCTCTGTGAGTGTGTGTGTGTGTGTGTGTGTGTGTGTGTGCGCGCGCGCGCCTTGGGGGAGGGGCTGTGGTCTGACGCTGGCCCGTGGAGCCCTTAGTCTACCATCTGTCTGCTCAGCCTCCCCGGCCAAGGTGAAGCCCTGTCAGCCTTCCTTGCTGCAGTGGGCACTCACTGTGACGACAGCTGGGCATTGGTCCTTCAGGTGCAGGAGCAGGGGCACCATGCTCTGGTGCACCTGGGTTTGAAGGTCGCTGAGCTTCCCACCTGCCATCGTGTCCACCAGGTCCCCGAATAGTGCCATGGCTGCTGCTCGGATCTGGTCCCGTTCCTGTAAGGCAGGTCTCAGAGGGGGCCCAGACCCCAGCCTGCTGGGTCCTTTCTGCAGGATTCTTTGGCCAGGCTTGGGTCTCCCAGTACAGAGCCAAGCCTACCCCTCAGGCAAGACTCTAGGACAAGGCCAGACCTTCCCTCTCAAACAAGGTTCCCAGGCTATCTCCCAGGTCAAACTCAAAGACATAAAATAATTCTCTTTCATAGCCACAGTATGAAACTGTGACGAATGCAGCTTAGGGGAGGGTTTAGCCCCGCTATTTTCCAGTAGAGGAAAAGTAGTTCCTCTAAATGAGATCTCATGTCAGTCATAAGGGTAAAAGATTTGTGAGGCAGTTGTAGGTTCTGAGATTGAGGGTCAGAGATTGGATTTGGCGGTGTTCAGCCATGAGAAAGACCCGAGCGCCACCTGGTGGACACTCAGCCAACCCGGTCCACCTGCTTGAAGTTAAGGTCAGCTGTAGCTGGGAGTTAAAGAGGGAGCACCCCAGCCCGCCTTGTCCCCGGGCCTACGTCATCGAAGAAAATGTGGACATTGATGGCGACATTGAGGCTCTGGGCGCCTGCGCCCTGCATGCCCAGTTGGTGCAGCACTTCTGACATGGTGTTCATGATGCCCACGACCACCGGCTCACTCTTCTGGAAGAAGCCTTCAAGGAAGTGCGGCAGCTGCGCACGGAGCAGGCTTTCCTGCAGGCAGTGGGGCAGTGGGTGGCGGGCCGGGACCTGCTCCTCTGGCCCCCCCCATGCCTTCAGTGCGCCCACATCCCTGACCAACTCTGGCCCTCCTGCTCCCACCCTGTGGCTGTGGCTCCCAGTGACTCAAGAACTGTAGATGCCGCTCATCTCCACCCACCAGCATGTGTGGCCTTGGACAGGGCTCCACTGTGGTGGCCACCCGGGGATCTTGGGTTAAAGGACAGATATGGATGCACAGAGCCCTCTGTACTGCTTGGATCCCAGCTCCTTCCTACTCATGGGCCCAGAACACCCCTGCCTTCACCCTGTTTCTGGGCTTGCTCTGGGTTAGATGGGGTCTGAGTCTGGACCAGAGAAAGGCTGGTCATGTTGTACACACTGAAGTCACTAACTGGGATTTTGTATGCACTGGGCCGTAGCTCCAGGCCTTTTGTGTTGCAAGTTACTGTTATGTTCCATTTTTACACTTTTTGCTTTAAGCATTCTTTTCAAATTTATTTCCAGCCAGTTCTGTCTGCCCCATTTGTTTGCGCTGCATTTTTGAATTCTCAGGTGCATTGTCAGAAAGCAGCATGGATTTTCCTGCCATTGGCCCCTTGTCAATGACTTGTGTGAAAACCAAGGTGGGTTTTTTAAAAAATAACTTTTAAATAAGTTTGAAGCACATTTTGTTGGCTTCCTAAGCTCTGTTTCACTTAAAAATATTAAGTTCATTTTCACCAAGTGATTCATATGACAGCATTGTACACTTGTGTGTGCCTATGAGGGAGCTAGCATGCCAGGACAGGGTTCCAGGTATGGGCAGGACCAGTATAAGGGAATCCTAGTGGGAAGGGCCAGAAAAGAGGCCAAACATGCACAATAAGGTATATATCTCCTCTGCTTGGGCAGGGTGGTCTGCTTCATCCTATCTTGGTCAGCCCATTCTGTCCCTGCCTCATTAGTCTTCCTTGCCAGTCGTTCATAGGTCTACCTGTTCCCTCTGGCCCACACCTCACTTGGGCTGGGTGGGAACTATATCCCCTTCCTCATACTGAGCCCTCCCGGTGTAGCAGGGGCCTTGCCTGCCTTCCTCATTCCTCACACAGCCCCAGTCAATGCAGGGCACGGAGGAGGCACATTGAAACTCCCTCTGATCACCTCTCTGGGAGAACAGCTGGAGAAAATGAGAGATAACGAATGAATGATTGGGTGAATGAATATAAAAAGATTGAACAAGTGAACTAATGAAAGAATGAGTCAGATAAAGGGCTCCAAGAACAAACATATGGGTGTGTGGGTGAAATGCCTGGATGGGTGGATGGATGAATGGGTGGGTGGGTGAATTTATGGTTAGATGGGTGAGTGGTTGCATGATGGATGGATGGATGGATGGATTGGAGAGTGGGTAGACAGATGAGCAAGTGCTCTCTAGTCACCATTCCCCATTGTGAAGCTCCCATGAGTCACATGCAATGCATAGAGCTTTGGTGATCTAACAGAGATCTCCCCCTAACCATGTAGAGACTTATGAGTTGAACAGGATTGGAGTGAACTAGGGTGATGGTTAAATGCTTTTGGAACGTCTTTGGAAACTGTCCCTCTGTGGCCTTCCCCATGACCTCATTTTCTCCTACAGGCCCTGAACTTCTATCGGTATGTTCACAGCAGCCTTTTCCAACTGCAGCATTCTAGGATCATAACACAGACCCCAGTGTGGATGAAGGGGAGTGAAGACCTTAACCTTCCCAACCAGCTGAGAACATCTTTGTCCAGCTCGCTGGACCCATGCAGGGCGTTAGCATAAAAGATACTGCTGCTGTTTGTGACAGCCAGTGGCTCAAGGGCTGATCGTGGCTCAAGGGCTATCTGTGCCGCAGCACTGGACTCTGCAGCTCCCATTCCACTCCCGTTTTATGGACACTGGCACTGAGACCCTAGGGCTGAAAAATTGCCAGCCAGAAAGTTCTGGAGTAGGGACTGGCCTGGATCTTGGCCCTAACCACACATTGTGCCTCAGAAACCCATAGAACAGAGGATCAGAAATTCTGTGGCCTGAGGACCTCCCAAGTCAGCTTGAAGGCTGTCCACTAGCTGTTCCTTTTATTTTAATTAATTAATTAATTAATTAATTTTTTCCACTAGCTGTTCTTTATCAGATGTGGGTTGCTATGGTAACGGGGCAGCATTGGTTGGAATGGAGAAGATATGGGGAACCCATCCACCAGGTTCTCCAAGGAAGTTTTCTCTGGCCAGGCTTGGGGAGCTTCCTGAGTGGGCACCTGAGCTGTGCAGTAGACTCGTCTCCTCCTGGTAGAGAAGAGACACTGGTGCTGGGGAAGGTACGCTGCCACTCCTCCTACAGCCTGTCCCTGTCTGCAGATGAGGAGAGGTGGTCTGAAGGGATAGAGCCTAAGGGAAGGGAGCCAGGGTCCCCACCCAGTGGGCTGAGGCTGTGGTGCCCACCAGCCCTCACCTTCTCTGGGTGGAAGAGGATGTTTCCGAGAGCCTGCAGGCTGGACACACGCACTTCTGGGCTGGGGTCACAGAGAACTTTCGCCAGCACCGTCCTGGCAGCCTGGGTAGGAAGGACCTCCAGCAGGGCAGGGCTGTAGAGGAACTGGGAATGGGGCATGTAGATCCAGTTTGGCATCCTCTCTGGACGTCTGGGTCTGTGTTGTGGGGCTCAGGACCCAGGGTCAGGATGGGGCTGGGGGGGGCTGGCACTGTGGGTAACCAGTACCCTTTAATGTACCTCTGGGAAAGTGGAGGCCCAGGGAGGAGAAAGGCCTTGCCTGAGGCTACACAGCATAGCTAGTGTCAATTTGCACCAACGCTGTCTTGTGGGGCATAGGGGGACAAGCGCACAAGTGGCTCAGACTCTCCTGCTGGTAGGGTGGGAGCTGACAGTAGGCTTTCATGGGTTAAAGGCCTCAGGTTACCTGTCATTCATCATAGAAAGGACCCCTCCCCCACTTCAGTTTGGCCCAAAGCCCACAGCTGCAAAGCTGGCCACACTCTGCATCTTTCTGTGTTTTGAAGTTTTATTGTCCCAGCCAAAAACCTGGTGTCCCACTGAGGCAGGCTAAGGCTAATGTGAGCGTGTGGGTCTGCCTAAGCCTACACCCAATGTCCCTTCAGCTCATCAGGGGCCTTTGCAGGGTGTAGAGAGACAGGATCCCCAGCCCCCAGCCTTGCCCCTACCTCGTTGAAGATGAGGATGGCTACCTTCCTTTCCCTCTCCTCTTGGCTCTGCAGGCTGGGCAGCAGCTGGCCAAGCATGGCCTTAACCTTCCTGCAGTGGTTCTTCACCATGGCCCTAGGAGACAGGGCCTAGGCTGTGGTCACAGCCCACATCCACCCTCCTGCCAACACCCGAGCCAGGGACTTCTGTGGCTGGAGGTATCCCAAAGTGGGTGATCATTCTGAGGGGGTGGGGACATGGGTCTCTCTGAGCACATCCCACTCCCTTTGCCCCCAGTGCCCAGTTTGTGCCAGAGATGGGCTGAGATGGGCAAGGCTGAGAGATAACATTGACAACCTCTATCCCTTTAGGGGGTCTCCGGCCAGCTGAGGGCTGAGGGGATGCTGGCATCTACAGGTGTGCCTGTGAGCAGGGCAGCGGGCACATGCCTCTCAGTGCCCCAGGGCCTCTGTGTGCACTCTTGGGGTCCCTAGAGCCTGTTTGTGAGCAGGACCCCTTCTAGACCCAGTGGCTCTAGAAGACCAGGATTCTGTCACCGTGGCTGCTACATGCAGCTCCTGGGGTGGTGGTGGCCTGGAGCAGGTGCTCCTTCCCTGCCCCACACACTGGTACCTGGCGAGCAGGACCACACCCTGTGGGTAGGTGATGATGGAGGAGAAGCGCTCCCAGGCACCCTGCAGCTCCAGGTGGGCGAAGTCATGCCAGTGCCCTGTGGTGAACAGCAGGCTCTTCAGAGCCTCCAGTGATGTGCTATGGCCAAACAGAGGAGTGAGAGCCACCTAGGGCCACAGTGATCATTCAGGTCACCCTGCCCTTGGCAAGGAAGGGTGCACCCTCCCTTGTGGAAAGGCATGCTCTGGCTCCTGTCTTGGCTGCAGCTGTTCTCAAGGCTTCCAGGCACATGTGTGGTCCCGCCCTTTGTCATCAAAGGAATACTGAGGCCTCTAGTGTGGTGGGCTAGAGGTAGGCTGGGGTCCCAGCTCTTGGGGAGAGAGACTCGATTTTGGTTTGGTGCTCTGAGATTGCGAGCACCCCTGGAACTTCCTAGAGGGGACAGGGACCCTTTGGCTGGGCATCAGGGTGGAGCTCAGAGGACATGAGGTCCCATGGAAATTTGAGTGTCTGGGACTCTGGTGCTGCAGAGAATAGGGGAGACCAGAGTGCCTACCCATGTGTGGGTAAGGAAGAATGTACAGGCTACAGGGTGCACCTGTGTGTGGTGCCTCACCTGAGCATCTCAGGTAACAATCCCTTGTTGCCCTCCCTCACAGAGGAGGAAGCATCCCTGAGATCCCATGAGGCCTGGTCAAGGGCAGCAGAAAGAGTCAAGCCAGGTCTCTGGCTCCAGACTCTTGCAAAGATATCACTGTCACAGGTACAAGTCTGCCCCAGGCACTGATCACAGTTCCTGAACACACTGGACAGTCTGGGAATGCAAGGTAGCCCTGGCTTGCTGTCCTTTCTCCATTCCTGGCCACCTTTTGCCTGGTCACTAGGAGTATGTCACTGGGGTGTGTGATCACACCATGGAATGGGCTGTCAGCTTGGGTGGCACGTTTCTGAGCAGATTTGCAAAACCAAGTGTCAAAGGATAAAATGCCATTCTGAAAGTCCCTGATGGTGCCAATTCAAATGCCAGCTGGCTTGTCATCTCGCCCCAAGCTGTGTCATTAAAAAGAGGCAGCATTTTTCCAGGTCACTGGTCTCAGCCACAAAGTGATGATGGTTTTCGGAGACAAAGACTTAGGGAGATGGGACACTCTGTTCTCTCTGAGAGGCTCTGGAAGTTCTGATCCTGGGGCACCTTGGGCATCACGACTGCTTGTCCTTCATGACTGCACTGACCTCATAGACACAATGGCACTTCCGAGAAGGTGACTGTCAGCTGACTTGAACATTCCTGAGAGTTTCTGCCTCTGGGGGTCTCTACCACCTACAGCCGTCCCCAGCCCAGGACCCCTAGAAAATCTTGAGGATATGGATTCCTTATGCTGACTGTGGCTGGATGGTTCTTCCTTCTTCCTGGCCCCAAGGTCATGCTGTCCTTCAGCCTCTCAACATCCTGGCATCCCAGTGATGCCCACCCCATCCCCAAGCAACTCTGCTATCCCATTCCTGCCCTGGAGGGGACAAAGCCTCAATAGAGGAAGTGTCACCACATGTGTTCTCTGAGGACTGGCCAGTCACAGCCTACACTGCCCCAGCCTCACCATTTCCTCTTATTCTGGTTTTACTTTTGTTTTTAATTGTGGCAAAATGCATTTACACAATTTGCTATTCCAATAATTTTTAGGTGTACAGTTTGGCAGTATTAAGCACATTCACAGTGCTGTGTAACCATGACTGCCATTCACCTATGGCACTTTCTCAGGATCATCTCAAGCTGATGCTGACTCCAAAATTCCTGCCCCAGCCCCTGGCAGCCTCCATTCTTCTTTTTGTCCCCATGGATTTGACTCCTTTAGGAACCTTATGAGTGGAATCCTATGGCCCTTGTCCTTTTGTGACTGCCTGTTTTTACTCAGGAAGCTGTCCTCCAGCTTTGGCTCTGTTGCCTCATGCATCAGGACACCTTCCTTTTTAAGGCTGTGTAGTATCCCATTGCATGTGCAGATCACATTTTCATTACTGTTCATTTATGGTGGGTGCCTGGGCAGTTTCCATTTGTTGGCTCCTGTGTGTGGTACATACAGCTAGAATTTTCTAGGATCTGTGAGTTCCTGCTTTCATTCTTTCAGGTATAAACTCAGAGGTGGGATTAGTGGATCATAGGGTGAGTTTTAGTTTATGTTTTTTTTCCCCCTCATTGTACTGGCAATTGAACCCATGGTCTTCATGGTGAGTTTCACATCCAGCTGTTTTTTCTTTCTTATTTTGGGACAGGGTCTTGTTAAATTGCTAAAGTGTCCAGGCTCAAATGTACAACAGGCATGCGCAGGCATGCCCAGCTATTCTGCTAAGTTTTGGAAAAGTTGCCACATGCTATCTCTCACAGCAGTGGCATCCTTTTCTTTTCCCACCCACAGGCCTCCAGTTTCGCTCCATCCTTGCCAGCTCTTGTTACTTTTTGCTTTCTTTTCCATTGCAAAGGGTGAGGTTTCTCTTCTTCTTTATCACAAGCCTTTGTCCCTTTGGCTCAGGGGGGACTGGAACACTGAGGAAGCCAAGCAGGTAAGGATGAGCATGGCTTTGAAAGAGGGGATGAGGGGCCCTCAGGGGGTTGAGTCACCTCATGGATGACAGGAGGAGTGGGAAGTCCTTGTGGGTGGAGCCTGTGTCAGCAGGAGGAGGACTCAGCTGAGAATTGACCAATCCAGACTGTGTCTTCAAAGTGAGGGTCTCTGTCAGTCAGAGAAGCAGTAGCGGGGGTGGGGGTGATCAGTGTACATGGGGCAGCCCTGGCCTAAGATGCATGTGCTGGGCCCAAGGTGGCCTTGCTGAGTAGGTGGCAGGAACTTTGGAGGCCCACGACCAGTCTCACTTGCCTAATGCCTCACCTGGCTGCAGTCTGGCATCCTTCTGGGACACCCCCAGCCAGTGGGCTACTCAGTAGTGGACCCCAGACCCTCTCTTAGGCCCCTCTGTCCCCCAACACTGCCAATCCACCTGGAACATGAGTCAGGCCCTGGACCATGATACGCTGGGTGATGCCACCTACCCTTGAGGCCCAGAGAGTGACCATCAGCCTCTCCACTGCCTCTCATTGCTTGTCATCCTTCCTGATGTGGCTGCTGATTGGCCCATCTCACCCTGAGGACCCTTCAGGGTGGCTCTCACCTGGCAGTTTCTCCTTGGAGAAGGGACACACAGGTCCTTATCCCAACTCCAGGAGGGAATGGGTGCCAGGTTGAACCAACCAACCCTCTGATGGCCCTGTGGCTAAGGGATTGGTTCAGGATTGGGCATGTGACCTGAGTTGGGCCAATCGGAGCCAGGTCTGGTCCTATTGCTACTGGAGCCATGGCTGAAAGGACCTGCTCAGAGAGAGAGAGGCCAGCAGGAGAAAGCAGAGCTGAGGAAAGAAGGTCAGGTGGATATAGCTTGAGAGCTCCATCCAGCCGGGCCTAGCAGAAAGCTACTCAGGGGCTCTAAAAAACAGATGGATGTCCATGGTGCATGAGGGAGCATTAGAGAGACATACAGACATCACTAGTACAGAGAGAACTCCAAGAAAGACAAATGCTCCCAGGGTATGGGAGTGCCTGAGGTAGACAGATGGCCCTGCCCCAAAGGACCATCCACTCCTGGGGTGCAGGCAGCAAACAGAAAAGAAGGCACAGATATCAGGTGTTAGATGGACCCAGGGAGGGGATGCTGTTTAGAGTGTGGCTGGAGGGGACTGGCCAAGGTACGTGGCATGTGGGTAAGGGGAACATTGGGAGAGAAGAGGGCTGAGCAGAGACAGTCAGTTGTAGCTTCCTCCCAATCCTCTCATGTTCTGGGAGGAGAGGGTTTTATTAGGTTATTATGGAAGATTCATGCATTTTGCATGTCTGATGTGAATAAAAAAGGAACTTTATGCACACTGGAACTCAGAGACAATATGAGAAGGAGTGACTTTTTTTTTCAGTGACGTGCCTTGGGGAGAGCTGTTAAAACTGACAGATTGCATGAAGCACATCATAATACAGACAAATGAAAAGAGTTGCCCCAGCTGTTTTAAAATGGGCTTATTGGATTTCCATGACTGGATGCAGATGGAAGGCCAAGGCAGCCAGCCCTGCTGTAGCCCAAGGATGGGATGGTCCCTCCCACCCATGCCTGTCCACCCTGGTCAGGCACAGAGGGATGGGGTGGGGGCCACTAATAATGGCACAAAAATGTGTCATGGCCCCTGAAGTGCCCAAGGGGCTGGAAGGGTGTCTACCTCTTGGGAGCTGGGCGCAAGGGCAAGATGATTCCATACTTAAACTGGGTGAGGTGATGCTCACATCTAGAAGCCTTGCAAGGAGGCTAAGAAGCAAGAAGCAGTCACCAGGCACCCTGAGTTGATGAGGAAACAGGACATGTACAGAGCTGGCGGGAGAGCCATGTGACTGAGGATGTTGGGGCCCATAGTTATGGTGGGATGAATGTGTCTCCCCTAAGAAAGACATGTTAGCCAGGGATTTAGCTCAGTGGTTCTGTCGCCTGCCTTGCAAGCCCAAGGACCTGAGTTCAATCCTTGGTACCAGAAATACATGTTAGAAGTGTAACCCAGTACCTTTGAATGTGACCTTATTTGGAAATGAAGTCTTTACAGATGCAATCGAGTTAAGATGAGGCCATTAGGGTGACCCTAATGACGATTGGTGTCTTTTTAAGAAGAGAAATCTTGGGCACAGGCACAGAGGACAATGCCAGTGACAGAAGAGGCAGAGATCAGAGTCACGCAGGCCATCAAGGATTGCCTGGAGCCACCAGCAGCTGGAAGAAGTAAGGAAGGCTTCTCCCCTATGGTCTTCAGAGGAGCACTGCCTGAGGACACTTGGATTTGTGTCTTCGAGAACCTTGGGACAACACATGCCTGCTGTTTTAAGCCTCTAGGTGTGTGGTACCCTGTTCCTCAGCTGGATGAAGCTAATATCTGACTTTCTCTGGGCATTCCCGTTGGCTGGCTGGACAGAAGGTCTGAAAGGTCCTGTGCTTACCTCTGGGGGCTGGGCAGGGCTGCCTCCTGGGCCTGCTGCCCTGGTAGGGACTTGGCTTTGGGCAGGTTCAGCTCCAGGACGTAGTGTATCTGAGTGAGGAGGGCCAGAAGGAGCTGGGGGTAGGCCTCCTGCATGACCTTCTTGAACTCTTGCATGAACTGCAGCTCATGCAGCGTGTTCATGGCCTGTCAGGGGAGGAGAGAGTTAAGTTTCTAAGCCCTAGGCTCCTGCACCAGAGGTGCAGAGTGAAAGCCACATCCCATCATGCCTCTCACTCCTTGCTTAGACACTTCCAGGACTAGGCGTAACATCCAGATGACACCTTTCCCTGTGGTCAGTCCCTGCCACCTGTGCAGTATCAGGCTGGCCTGTCTGTGAGCTCACTATACCTGCTGCTCAGGTCACCTCACTGCTCAAGAGCCAGGTACCTCTGCTTTCCCTACTGTCTGCTGGGGTGCTGCTGCCAACACCCTCAAGACCTTCCCCCATGACCTAGAGCCACCTGTCTGACCTGCCTGAACTCTGCCATTGACTCTTTACCCTTAGTGATTGTCTGAAGGCCATCTGCTTGGGGTCTGGCCCTGAAGGTGCTGTGTGGTGACTGCACACAGTAGTTTAACACATTAGTATTGGGGACAAATGGCCCTTGAAGGCAGAGCCTATGACAGCAGGCCCCAGGACCCGAGGCTTGCCATGCCCAGAATGCTCTGGCTGGGGAGACAATAGTGGACAGGTATGATGAGGGATGAACAAGGGTGGGAGGGCACTTGGAATGCAGCAGGAGGCAGCTTCTAAGAGTTCTCCAGAATCCATTGCTCCCTAAAGGTTGGTGGACCCTCCCTGGAGCTTCCAAGCCCTTACCCTCTGGGTGAACTCTGCCCCAGGCCCTCTCTTTCCAAGGCTGTACTTCACAGTGAGTGCCAGGCCAGGCACACACTGAAGATCCAATCCCCTTTTTCACTTGCAGGGACATTTCTATCCTGACAGTCAGGCCTAGAACCCTGGGCTGGGAAATGGGGAGCTGGGCCTGCAGTTGGGGGTGTGAGTCCAACCTTAGGCCAGGAGATCCTTGACTTCCTGGCCAGAGCTGGGTTGCTCTTTTGTGTCCCACCTCCTGGACACTGATTGAGGGCATCCAAGAAGCCTGGGTTGGAGGGATAGACTCACAGCCAGCGAGTACAGGTAGGTCTTCTCCTTGGGATGGGCATTGCCATTGCCGGCTCTGGTGGACAAGGGACGCTCCTTCAGCCAGGCCAGCAGCACAGCCAGCACCAAGCGGCTGATAGACTTTTCAGCCCCCAGGGCCTTCCAGAGGCATAGGGCGTGGCTGTGGGCAGAGATGGGCTGTGAGGACTTCGTTGTGACCAGGATCCAGCTCTGGGGGCAATGCCCAGGGGGAGGAAGGGGCTGGCCCTGATCCATGCACAGAGTTTTGCCATTGGTGCAGTGACCTCAGGCACGTTTTGCAGATGAGGGCATATTCTGCCCTTTGAGGGCTCATGTCCCTCAGCCAGCACATTTTTGTTGAGGGGCTTCTGGCCTGCATGTTCCAGGGGACTGAGTCAGGGAAGAATCAACAAAGTCCCTTGCCTTTTGGATGAGCATGTCAGGAGAGGGCCACTCGGCCCAGGGACAGACAACTCAGGATGGTTGCACATCTACATGGTCATGGACAGAAAGGAGGCTGGTATCATGGGGTAGATGTGTGGAGAGCAGGAGAGGGCAGGAGTCATGAATTTGTTGGCCATGGCACTGGTTTTAGTGTTGTCTGTGAGATGAACTATTGGAGGGGTCTGAATAGGGAGTGTCATGACTGTGTGTGGTGATCTGTCCAAGACTCTTCCTTGGCAGCCAGGTGAGTATGGGCAGGACGGTTTGGGTGGGAGCTGCTGACTTCCTTAGACTGGGGTAGGTGGTGATGTTGGGAAGGAGTCAGAGTGATTTTAGAACTCTGCATGCCTAGGTATGCCTGGGAGGTGTGGGTTCTAGAAGATAAGGAGTGTCCTGGGGATGTCCCTATAATGAGGATGTGGCCTGAGGGTGTCCCTATAAAAGAGTGTGGCCTGGGACTCTTCCATGTGAAAGGCTGTTAGACATTCATAGGCTGTCATTTGGAACATGGGGTGTGGGGAGTTTGGGCCAGATGTGAACACTGTATGATATCAGCACTTGGGGGGCCTTTAAAGCACTCAGATAAATGTGATTCCTATGGCAATGAGTAGAGCTGATGATGAGGTATGAGGGTTACCCTGCTGTCCCAGGTCTAAGAAACTAGGGAGATGAGGAAGCTAATGAAAGAGAGGGTACAAGAATGGATAGGTGGTGTGAACCAGGAGCCTGTGCTCCTGGAGGTCAGGGGTGAAGACTCCCAGGAGGAGAGTGTTGCTGACTGATCCAGCTCTGCTGATGGGTCACGTGAAAGGGGACAGAGACTGATCATTAGACTTGGAAGTGTGAAATTTCCAGTGACCTTAATGAGAATAGTTTCATTGCCATGATAGTAGAAAAAGTCTGACTTGGGCATGTTTAAGGGATATGGAAGCCACAACCCAGCAGCAAAAAAACAATAAGCCAATTTGGAAAGGAACAAAGGGCTTAAATAGGCAATTTTCCAAAAAGACCACAAATGGCTAAGAGGCACATGGAAAGATGGTCAGCATTATCAGTCATCTGGAAGTGCAAATTGAAACTGTAACAGGTCACTTCACACCTACTAGGATGGCCACAGTCCAAGAAATGATGAAAAGCAAGTGCTGGCGAGGCTGTGGAGAAGCTTGGATGCTGCTGGTGGGGACAAAACGGGGACAAAACGGGGGTAGTAGCTGTGGAAAACCACATCATAGTTCCTCAGGAAGCAGGACACAAAACTGCTACATAGCCCAGCAACCTCATAGACAGGTTCAAACCCAAAATGATTGAAGGGACTTGAACATACCCAATTTTCCCTTGGTTTCTTCAGGGATTGGTTTCAGGAACTCTTTCAAATGTCAAAATTCAAGGATGCTCATGTCCCTTACAAAACTGGCACAGAACACATATATAACCTTCATCTGTGTGTATTTTACCCTGAGATTATATAGAATACCACAGAACAATGTCAATGATATGTAAATTGTTGTTCTACTGTGTTGTTTAAAATATAAGTACAGCAAAAAAGATCTGTGAATGTTCAGAACACAACACTTTTGGAAAAATATTTTGAGTCCAGGGATGTGGAATGTTTAGATCTATAGGGATGACTTACTTGTACACTGATGGCAGCAGTGGCTCATAATGGCTCAGAGGTGAAAATAACTCAAGTGTTCATGAGCAGATGAACAGATAAACAAAGTGTGATGTGTTCACATAACAGAATATTATTCACCCAGAAAGTGGAAGTTTTGATACATGCTTCAGCATAGATGAACCTTGAAGATAATGCCAAGGGAAAGAATCCAGACCCCCAAAGGAAAACAGTGTATGATTGCCCTGTATGAAACATCTAGGCAAATTCATGAAGATGGACAGTGATTAGAGGTTCCCGGGGTGGGAGGGATGGAGAGCTATGGGCATGAGCCCAGTGTGTGCTGCCAGCTGCACAGAGGGTTGTTCTTGGGAGTTAGTGTTTGATGACTACCGGTTTCTCTTTAGAGTGATGAGAAAGTCTTGGAATTAGATAGTGCTGACAGTAGTGTGATATTGTAAATATAATTAATGCCATGGAATTATACCCTTAAAAGTAGTTGAAATGGCAAATTCTGTCATACATATATATTTACCATAATTAAGAGAATTAATAAGATCACATACCCAGATCATTAACTTCAAATCATTAACCTTTAAGTGGGTGAATGATATAGAATGCAAATTATATATATTTTTTCAGTGCTTGGGATTAAACTCAGATAAGTGCTTTACTACTGAGCTACACCTCCAGCTTGAGGATATATATCTTAATTAATCTGTTTTAAAAAGGATTGCAAGGGCTCCCATCTTCCAGTAATGGTATGCTTAGTTACTCAAATCAGCTCCTTTTTTGAAAACAAATCAAAAGACTAGAGAAAATATAAAGAAATATCATAAAGGCATTAGAAATGACAAGAATATAAGAAGTACCTGGCCAGTGTGTGGGGCTTGTGAGGACCCCAGGAGATGGTAAGCACAAAGTTACTAATGTTCTCAGGGAGGACAGAAGTTCAGGAAAGTCAGGTCCTTTTTTTTTGTCAGCCTTATGGGATGAGGGCTCAGAGACAAAGGCTCAGAGATCAATTAATCTAACAAGAGACCCTATGTCACTCACAAGTAGCTGTACGAGCTATGGTGTGTTTCAGCCTGGTTCCAATTGCCTGGGGTATCCAGGGAGTCTGCAGTCCTGGGTTTGATTGACAGTGATCTTAAGTGGTTGTGCTCTTGGGCACTCAGCAGGGTGAACACAAATCCCTTGATGAGAAAAGTATTTTCATTGTAAGCTTGGAATTATTCCTATAATTTTGTTTCAGAAATAATTCCTGGCATGTAGTAAAGATAATCACCCATGAGGAAGCCAACTCCATGGGTGACATATAGCAAGAACAATGAATAAAATGAACCCGACAAAGCTCAAATGTTAGAATGACCAGACATGGACTACAAGGACATGCTTAAGAATATTTATGGAACAAATCTACATGGGATAGAGGTGGTTAGAAAAAGGGCCACTTGAAATTTTTGAAAAAAATAAAACTAAAATTAAAAATATAATGGACGAATTTCATATCAGAGTAGATATAATTGAGAGAGAACTAGCAAACCAAACAGTAACAACAACAACAACAAATCCCCATCAAACCAGAAAAAAAGTGCGTTGTCTAAAATAAAGAAGCAACAGATTGACAGCTGACTTTTCAGAAGCTGCAATGGAAGCTGGAAGACAATGAAATGACCAAATGACTTTGTTATACTGAGGGAGAATATAGTGGCCCCCTAATCCACAAGGCCTCTGCCTCAAGACCTTCACTGGATCCTTTAAACCATAAATAGTACTCAACCTCAAATAAGCTATGTTTTTTCCCTGTATATATATACTTTATATAAAGTTTAATTTATAATTTAGACACAGGATGAAATGAGCAACAATGATAAAACAGAATAATTAAAACAGTATACTGTAATTTGTAAATGTGGTCACTTTCTAAAAATATTTTACTGTATCTCACCCACTCTTCTTGTGATAGTGTCAGAGGTACAGAGTTCAGAGCCTATGTACTGAGATGAAGTAAGGTGAATGATGTAGATGTTGTGATGTGGTATTAGGCTACTATATAAGGGTCACCAAACAAACTATAGTGCTACAACAGTCCATCTGGTAACTGATCTGGCTACAAAGTGACTAACAGACACACAGTGTATACAATGTGGATAAGCTGGACAGAGGGAGGTTCATGTCCTGGCCAGAGAGACAGTATGAAATTTATGAAATCAGGCTACTCAGAAAAGTGACCAGTTTAAACCATAATTGTTCATTTCTAGGATTTTCCATTTTTAATTTTTGGACTGTAGTCGACTATGGGTAAGTGGTGCTGTAGGTGATAGGGGATGATTCTAGTGGCCAACTGGGAATTCTGTACCTTGTGAATTTTTTTTCAAGGCTGAGGTGAGCTAAGGACACTTCAGACAGAAACTGAGAGCATTTGCTAACTACAGATCCAAAGTAAAGTATATTCCAAAGGATGTGCTTCAGGCTGGAGACAGATGGTCTTGGCTGGGAGGCTGGAGTTTCATAAAAGGATGAGGAGCAGAGAAAGTAGTAAAATGTGGGCAAGTCTAAATGAATTTGACTTGTAAGATTTCAGATAGCAAAGAATTAAAATAAGCAACACAAGCATTAAAACTGGGAGTGTGTTCAGTCATTTGAAGATTTTGAAGATTCTATTTTGTCTGTAAAGAAAGCAGAGAGTAAATTTAATCCTGAATATATTAACAGTTATATTACATGTAAATGTAATAAGTCCTCCAATCAAAGACAGAGATTGCCTGGCTGTAAAAGACCTAACTAAATGTTGTTTATAAGGGACAAGTTTGAAGCAAAAGAATGTAGAAATATTCAAAGAAAAAGCAAGAGAAGAAGAATGTCATAAAACACCAACAAGAGAAACTTGTGTGGTGAGATAAGTACTGGAATAGTCTTCATACAATAATGTGAACTCTAAAATCTGATTTAATAGTAGCCAAATGGAAACATCTTCAAAGAATACATCAACATGATTCTATGACAATATAAAAGTGGCAATTCATCTGAATTTATGAAAACAGTAAAACATATTGAATAATGAAATGTATTTGTGTGCAATAAAAGTATATGTAAAGGAA